GCCTTCGCGCACATCCAGCACATCACCATCCCGTGGCCTTGGAACGCCGCGCACACCCACAGCCCGTCCTCGCCCGGCACCCGCCCGACGAAGGGGAACCCGTCGGGCGTGAAGCCCATGATGCTCGTCCACTCGGCGCGCGCCCTGCCCTCGGGGTCGTCTGCGCCCCAGCTGGCAGCGCCAAAGTAGCGCGGCGTCGTGCCGTGCAGGTATGCGCTGACGGCCGGGTTCAGCCGTGAGTCATCCGTGATGCCGTACTCCTCGAGGCCTTCTTCGGGCAGACGGACTAGGCCGCCACCGATGACGATGTCGCCTGCGAATGGGGAGGAGGGCGGTCTGGGGATCATGTACTCGTAGCCGCCCTCGTAGATGAAGCTGTATGTCGTCGGGAGGCCAGCGCGGGGCATGTTGGAGCCGGGGCGGTGAGCCGCGATCTGGCCACGCAGCGGCACGATGGCGCCTTGGAAGGGTTTGTGGAGGGATGCGGTGTAGCCGTTCGTTGCGAGGATGACTCTTTTTGCTGTGATTGTGCCCTTGGGTGTTTCCACTGTCCATCGGTGCCCGTCTTTCGTGATGTGTTGTTTCTGGAGGCTCGTGGCTGGTGTGTTGGTGAAGAGCTTCATGCCCTTGGCGACGCACAACTCGAGCACCCCGGTGGTGAATCTGTAAGCGGAGATGCTCCCGGCTTCATAACCAACACCGCCGCATAACCCCTCCCCGTCGACGTGGAACCGGCCCTTCATCTCCTCGACGTCGTAGAACTCGTACCGCGAAGTGTCCTCGTCAGGCATGGCCCTCCTCATCGCGTCGACGGCCACCTTGGCCGCCTCCCACTGCTCCGGGTCGTAGATGGCGTCCACGGTCTGGCACGGCCTGCTCTCCGTGTCTTTGAGGTCTGCGGCGAAGGCGTGCACGGCGCGGATGTTGGCGAGCTCCATGCGCGCGATGAGACACGCCTGGTCGAGGCCGAGGACGGAGACGTGGTGGAGGAAGGAGCGGTAGGACGCGGCTTTGGTGTGGCCGCCGTTGCGGCCTGTGGCGCCGGAGGTTACAGTGCGGGCTTCGAGCATTGTGATTTCTGGCGGTGATGGGGCCGAGAGGAGGAAGTGTGCGATGGCGGCGCCGGTGATGCCGCTGCCGATGATGAGGGTGTCTGTGTGCGAGGGGAGGGCGCCGGAGTTGTGGGTTGAGAGAGGGGATGGAGGGTTGTGCCAGTAGCTTGGGGTCGGGTTTGGCACGGGCAGGGAGACGGGGATGCGGGCTCGTGAGTCCATGTTGGGTGGTTTGGTGGTGATGGAGAGATGTTGATAATGGAAGTTTGGGTGTCGTTCCTGATGGGCTTCGTCTTGCGGGGTCGTGAAGATCAGATGATGTCAGGTACGTTGATAGGAGATAAGTTCAGATGAATATGGATGCTCGAGATGCGACTTATGTTCAAGAACTGAAGTTTAACATCAAAACATTTCACAATAGCATTGTTCTTATTGTTGATCATGACACGACATGAGAGGGGTTGCCCAGCTGACTGTCCCGCGGCAACTCCCCCGCTTCACAGATAAGCTACGGGAGATCGGCCATCATGCGGGGCCGCCTCCGGTTGGACATGCCCGTTTGAGTTCGGCAGCCCCCAGTGGAGATGTTCGGCGCCGGATCGAAAACGGCAGTTAGGTGCGATATCAGGAGCTACTCATGACCAAGAAATCATTTGCATTCTTGTGCGTCTTGTTCCAACTGTTGACTTGGGTTGGACCTCTTCGGTTCGTCCTACGACACACCTCTTGGTCCTGGGTTTCGAGTGCCGCTTGAAGACCCTGATGGTGAATCCAACCATCTGGGCACATATGCGGTCTCCCACAGTGGCGCAGTTCGAAGATTAATCGCACATGGCCACTGCAGAAAGGCGTTTTTATCAGAATTTCTCTGCTGGTGCACAGAAACGCTTTTTGTTTCTTATCTAAGGGCCTTCCTGAAATATCCACGTGTCTCTGCTACCACCCTTGCTATGCGCCTTACACGTCGGTTGAATTCCAGATATTTCCAGATATTTGAGGACAGAACGACTTCACAAAACTCGTGCCTGTCGAGGCCGTAAATAGGAAGAAGACGATGAGTCTTACCGATACGACCAAAGTCGGTGACATAGACGGTCTTGACTATCCCACAGAAAGGAAAAAATATAAATGCGTCGGTGATGGTTGAATATTGGCGTCGTTCATACCTAGTCATTAGTTTAGATCTGGAAACATATCAAAATTTTCGTACAACAGTACTGCCGAGGTGATGCCTCCAGCATTGACGAGTCCTTGGTCATGCTGCTTCGAAGATCGTTCCCTTACTTTCTCTGAATGAAATACACCTTAGCTGACGGAACCGCTGTCGCAGGTCAGGCGGAAAGCTGATGGTATCGCAGCATGTAGTCCTGACCAGTGTTTTGGACATCATCTTTTGGACTGGGACGTATCAAACCATACCTACCCTCTCACACCCAGCCTCCCGCACCCAGATCGGAGGCTGCTAGCTGCTAGCCTCACGTCTCTCTAGCTTCGTCTCTAAACCCCTCGCTAGCCCTGCCCAGTACTCTCTCCAGCGCCCTCCTCAGCACTCTAGCAGACCTATCTTCTCGTTGACCTAAGGCCTCTCTAGTTGAGATATGCCCTCTGGTTGAGATATATCCTTTGCCTGCCTAGTTCTTCTGCCTACCTTATGTCCCCCAGAGGCCATATCTCAGCCAGAGGCCCTAGGTCAGCCAAAGGTCTCAGGTCAGCCAGATGCCATGCCTCAGCTATAGTACTTGAGAGGGTGCCAGAGACGTGAGGCCGGTAGCTGGCACACGTTTCCACCATCTCAGTGTGGCTTGGAGGGCGCGGGAGGGGCTGCGGGAAAATTCAAGCCGCCCCTTTGGATTTCGTGCCTTGGATTGGAGTTAGTGCTTCGAAATACAGGGACATCGACCTCATAATGTTTCCGTTTTCATGCTCACCCAAATGTGTCTGTGGTATGGGCCGCATGCCAATTCTGCAATTGTCGGCTCGAACTGCCCGGCCTCGCCCCTACCCCTTTTCTTCTTTGAAGAATCCTGATGAGGAGGAGGACGGTTGAAGCGGTACTCGTTTGCCAGACAGTATGTAGCATATCCAAGCGGATATGCTCCCATGCGAATAGAAAGGCAAGGGCCATTTCTTAACGATTAGAAGTCGAAGGCTTGGGTGCGTGGATTAGCATCGCCTCTGGTGAGGGAAGGAAGGCTGTGTTCGTGGAGGCGGAGAGGAGAGTTTCTCTTACATTACGACCTGCCGGGGACATTCAACGCCGTCCCTTGCTATTATCTACGGCCGGATTCAAGCCAAGTCCATGGTGCTGAGCCGGACTAGGATACATCCGCATCTCGAACTCCGGACTCCAGGTTAATCCCGATAGAGGGTGGCCAAAAGCTCAAGCCTTACCATGACTGTTTTCTCTGGAACAGCTGCTGGTCAGATAAAGAACAAGTTTGGGGCAATTGTGCTGCTTTCAACGGGAAACCTCAGCCAATGACCCGGCATTTTCCACCCTCTAGCCAAAGCTGGACTCAATGCCCATTGGAAAAGTTTGCCGGGTGGTTGTCGAAAAGGATATGTGACTCACGACTACGTGGAAGGCTTGCAGGGATGCGACGGATATCTCTTGCCATATATTCATTATGTGGTGTGGTATAGCCATTGCGACGCATAGGATCAGGATGCAAGCGGCTTTCGGAGAAACCAAAGTTCGTCTGAGACTTCATATCCAATTGAAGACGGCCTCGCACGAAAACTTTGACAGACGAAGGGACATACATTCGAACAGGTGGACAGGTTTACGATTAACAAAGGCATGGGGAGATGGGAAAAGCCTCTTCATGGGCCCTAGACTCACACGGGGGTGGGTGATGGTGGGTGTCCATTTACGTTCCTTCATGCTGCGAACTTTCCAACCGTCCTTTTTGTGGAAGAAGGATTCGATTGGGATGGATGTAGAAGAAATGAAAATCCCTTCTCGACCTCATCAAGGCTGCTGTGGGATAGTACGAAGGGCGACGAAGGGCAGAAAAAGAAGGAACACGCCGTAGAGGGAGACTTCAGCTTGGCCACTAGGAATACGGCTCTGCGCAGTAAAACCACGGGACCACTCACGCATTACCTACCTTCAGCAACTACACAGTATCTGACGTCGAGGCTGCTGGAATTGACCAGCCAAAGCCTCTGCCTACGCAGGGTATCCATCTACAACGCCCCTTTACATCTCTTCCAGCCATCGTCTCGTTCCCGGATGGCCCTGGAGGCATCATACCCGGAAAGCCTTTCTGATTACTAGGAAGCTTTCGCTGCCCCCCGTCAACCAGAAGGGGCAACATGGGATCCGAAGAAAGTTCATATCTGCTATGGCTGGTATGCAGTAGAGTCACAGGAACCCCGCCATGGCTGAGATACCTCCAATCAACATACTGACCGGTCATACATGTAGGTTACATAGATACATACCATCGCCCACTGCCCGGAAAGCGCAGGAACACTCCTCGCACACTTTCGGCATCTGGCCAAGCTCAAAACAAAGTATGTTGTCCTTCTGATCTGATTGTGAGTGCCGTAACGGGGATAAGACTACCTTTTGATGTGATCAGGCGGTGAAGTAGTTGACGTAGAGGTAGAAAGAGCGTCGGGTTTCAGAGATAACGTCCCGATGAGTCCCCGGAAGCCTCACAGAACTCGAATCTTATTTCTAATGGTACCAGCAACGTCCTTTCTCCGAAATGTTTGGCCTCTCCGGGTACCTCTTCTCAAATCTATAAGACGCCCGGAAAGAGGCAGAAGTGCTGTTTTCATTCTTCCCATCTATCAAACTCACCACCACAATTACTACCACTCTTACCACCACTCTTACCACCACTCTCCAATACCACGCTCAACTACCGACATCAATTACCACATCAACTACTACACCAACTACCATACATCACACTTACTCTGCCATTTACCATTAACATGTCTATGTCATCAGTTAGCATGTTGAGCGCATCTACATCTACCGTAGATAACCACAAACTCCATGTGTCGGCTTATGCTGCACTCATGCCGCAAGAAGAGAAGACCAGTGCCGCCGAAGTCGTAGCTGCTGCCGAGACCCTCTTCAGCTATAACAAGAGTCCAGACTTTTGTAAACCCTTTTGGGAAACGACGATCAAACCCTCAACAGCCAAGGAGAATGCGCCGAAAAACGCGAAGGGGCGGACACCACTGCCGCTCGCCCCATCAGAGCGTCGGCTACAATCATCTAAGCCCGCCGCAATGTCAGAGACGGCGATGAAGTCTTCTGCGGCCTCGCAGGATGAGTTCCAGCCAGAGCGGGCAGCAGAGCCCAAGAGAGAGACAAAGCTGGAGACCGCGCCGGCCTATGCTGCGGTCTCACAGAACACACCACAGGCCCCGTCTCAGGAGGGCACCGAGCCGGCGTTGAAGCAAGCCCCTAACAAGATGCAGTGCCTCTGCACCAAGTGTATGGATTCATCCATGGGTCAGGGTAAAGAACAGTCCAAGGCAACTTGGGCCGAGCACAGCCGGGCCGAAAAGAGACACAACGAAGGCAGGCCAGCCAAGATAAAGTGCAGCAGGTGCAATACACTCAATAAGCCCTGCATGGTAGATGATACTGGAGCATCTTGCGCAGCATGTACATGGGTCAAAGAGAAATGCTGTCGCGACGGCGCCAAATCGAACCGTCATCGATCTGGCGGAGACGGGACGCACCCAAAGAAGTCACCGAAGCTGCCCGTCGCGGACGCGGTGGTGACCAAGCAGGCCAAACGGAAAGCTTCGGAGCCCATAGAGGGCCCGAAGAAGGCACAGAAGCTGGCAGACGGGGGCAGACACACCTTTGCCGAGGACGCCAAGGCGGAGCCGGAAGAGTCCTCCTTCTCTTCATACACTGCAAAGGCAACATACGGCGAAAACAACATACCTGTTGTCGGTGCCCCCCCTAATCCCTGTAGGTGGATGGCCGTCAACTCGTAACTCTAGCGCAGTAAGGAGTTCCAGGGACCCGAATTACTCCCCAGGTTCCCGGTCGGTACCAGCGCTCGAAGAGTTTGAAGGAGTGTCATTCAAGTGGTTGAATAGATGGCAACTATGGAGGAGGCAAGAAAGATCGTGGAGATATCTCCGTCTTTGCACCGCGTGGTGGGGACGTTTCGTGAGCGGACAAACATTATTATTGTACTAGGTATTTCATTTGTTTTAGCGCATAAGCATTCTTATTACAGCTGGGCGCAAGCTTTTGAAAAATTAAATGGATATTTTCCACCCATGTGAGCCCGCTTCCTAGTGATGCTGAAAATTGTATTCTCCCTCCGAGCTACAGCTTGGTATGTCGTTGCCTGTGCTTTACTAACAGTTATCTCCGAAGACTTGGCAGAGTTTTGCCATTCAGGGGAACAAAAAGCGCCCCCTTCCTGCGAAAGGGGAGCATCCGCCGGACTGCCAAACTCAAAGGTAGTGGCCATACACAACTCAACAGGGTGCCACCCTCAAAGGTCATCAACATCAAAGCAAAGTGAAGCATACATTTTCGAGAAATCCTTCTGTTGATTAATTTCAAATAATTTGCCAATAGCCGTTTCCCTCGGCTTCATTCCATGTTCGTGTGTCCAACCAGTCAGTTCCGGTGTCTGGGTCTTGATGCCAAGAGTCTATCGTCCAATGCAGGACTCTGGTCTGGCGGCAGGGCGCACGCTTGACCAAGATTACTGTCAACCTGCGGTCACGGAGGCTTACTGGGGTTGATACGGAGCTGTGAGGATTATTCTCCATGTTACGCGTTGGGATCGTAATTCGCTGTTGCTTGCCATTCGTCAGCCATCAGCCGCTCATCATAATGAATTTTGCGCATATTTTATATACATGTCATATCGTGTAGATGAAGGTCCTCAGACCCGCATAATGATGCCGGCATACAGCCCCTGGCGATGCTTTCCTCGACTTGTGACGAATTGGACATATGAGACCTTGCAGTTTTTGGATCCTGGGACGATAAAGTGCAGGTATCTTTATTAGAAATCTCTGTACCACTAACTTACAGAGATTCTCGAAGCTAAAGTTATCTCTCATGGAGTGTTTTCTTCCATTACGCCGTCTCTTTGGATCTTCTATTTACCCTCATGGCCACCTTACTGAGCTGGTTCTCTGAATGCATGGAAGACCGGCAGATTTGCACCGTCCTAGGAGATAGCGTACTGTATTGTTCACCCTCGTGACTTTCGGTTTCGTGAGAGTACCTAGGGAGCGCGAGCTGGCGACATGGAATCATTGCGCTCATGACACTGGAACGCCGGTGACGGGGAGAAGATGTCGTCAGTAGAACTTGGGATAGCAGGCTAATCGGTGCTCTGACTGGGGAAGGAAGTTCCGCTTTCATGGGACAATGGCTCAGGTGGACTATACACGTCGGCGTGAAAACTTCCAGTGTGTGTGTTCCTCGTTGATTAAGTATTCTGAATAAGTTATGCTAAACCAAGTCGTCCTGTGTAGGAAACAGAACGGTCGCTCGGCCACCCAAAGATCTGCCAGCTTTTCATGTCTTGGAGCCCCTTCTAAATATGAATGGTCACAACTACTGCTTTTCGTTCTGGGCATAGATGAAGTTTGCAGCTGCCGAATTGTCAGTGCATGTGCTAACATCAGCTCGGTGACTGCAGTCTCGAACTCACCGACTGGAATAAGACCGTTCTCCTTGGCCCAATTCCTCACGCCACGACCCTCTTCTCCACCCCAGTGCTTGCGCTCTTCCGGCTTGGACAGGTTTAACCTCTCGGTCGTGCCATTGGCCGGTACCCAGACGAGGAAGACGTAACGGTGCTTGCCAGTCTTGGCCGGAGGACCGGGAGGCTTGTATTCGACGACGTCCTCAACGGCCGGCTTGGCACCGGCAGATGAACTCGAAACGCCGGTAGCAATCCAGTGGCAGAACTCGGACCATTTGGGGTTGTCGCGCGAGGGAGCATCCGGGTCCGTCAGGGTGAGGACGTATGTGGTGGTGATCCGGATGCCGGGAAAGCCCGAGCCCTTGACGAGAGACACAGACGGCGCCGACTGGAGATCGGCAGGCTTCAACGTGTTGCCAAGGTCTGCAGCGTTTGACGAGTCCCACTCGGCCGAGAGACCCAGGATGGGCTCAAAGTCATCGATGACTGTGGGGATAATCTGAGCCTTGGAGAGTCTGCGAGCTGCATTAGTTGCGACCACCTATCAGCAGCATTAAAGGGTGACGTACTCGTCACGAACACGAGTCAAGTCCGCAACACCTACAAGAACGACTTGCTGGTCCTGTGCCGGAGCGGCGAGAACGGCACCGCACAGGGCGGATGCTGCCAGGAGCTTGCCTGCAATTCGGCCCGCCATTTTGAAGCTGTTTCGACGCTGTCTGTTGCAAGACACGGTGGTGGAGCGGTGGTATCGCCAACGGTGGAGTTATCCTGAGCCTTGGTGTAGATACGCGGCCTGCAAGCTTGCGCAATTCGTTGCAGAATCAATCGCAATGGCTTGCGTTGAAGAATCGACGCCGCTCTCCAACGGTTTCAAAGGGAGGTTCGGATGCGTGGTGGTGATGTCATGCGGGTGCCGTCTGGCGTGCTCTGTCTTTCCCCGCCCGGACCCCCTGTCGCCGGCAACAACACCCGCCGGTGCTTCCTGAACGGGGCCCGATCACCACACAACTTTATTTCAGCCACGAAAGTGCGGCTCTCGAATTGCGGTTTTCTCAATAATGAAATCAATTTATGATTATCACTTGCCACATCTATCTACCTATCGCTAAACGGAGCTTCGAGGCGTTGGTTGTGTGTTGTCCTAGGATTCATGCCCAGAACATCCCTGTATCACGTCCTATGGTTAGCGGAGTCACCAAAACTGGCTGCAATCTTCGCCGATTACCTACATGGCGAAACCTCAGGCTTTTGGTACAACGCGACCGAATTGATTGAGAATGTAAGAAATATGTAGATGAATATCCTTTAAGTCCGTTGTAAAAAATATCAAATTGCCGAAGACAAGGGGACAGAACTTCAATGAGGGCAGTCAAAGCATAAACAGTAGAATTCCGAAGGACGTGATACTTGAAACCGGCATGTCCCACTCTGCCTTTGTTTTGTTAATTTCTACTCACTGCCAAGTTATCATGGATAGCGATCCTCCGAGATACATCATCCTAGATGAGTTGCATCTTGACAGTCTTCACTGCCACCACTGCGGCAGTTGAACGGGTAAGCCCGGCGCAGCCCCAGTGATCGACATTATGTATGTAAGTGCCTCACTGTTGTCCACAAGAGCTTTTTCATGAGTGGTCATCACTGGAAGTAAGCCTAGCTTGGGGCCAACCGCCGACCGAACTGGGGAACTGATCATTTGATTGCTTCCCGCATTTCATGTGTCATCATCATCATAACATGCTATGCAGAAAGGGGCACACGCTGGCAAAGTGTGATGCTTAATGGGGCTCGGCTCTTGGCAAAGGTCCTTTGGCCTTTTTGTCACACAAGTCGGGCAAAGAACATTTTGATGCCACCTAAAGATTGGAAGTCTAGCATACAAAAGTTCCTATTTCCTAATTTAGCCCGAACGTCTCTTCGGAGCATTTAGCAGTATATTTGATAACGCCGACATCATGAACCATTCTGATGTATCAGCGAACTGTAAACCAACTACCTACAAATCAATGTGAACATACGCTGCCGTTGATCAGCATGGGCCCGAGCCGGAGCGACCCTCAGCCTCATCTGACATGCTTTTGTACCAAAAATACCAGCCTTCTGTGGTAGAGTTCACAGACTATTGACTAAAATTGTCGATCAATCCTTCAAGGCACAATTCTGCACTTTCATTTCTCGGGCACTGTCGAGCACTGAGCAGCTGATGGCCAGATGACACTTGGCACCACAGACATGCAACGATGCCTTCAGCAGTTCGCCGCCACCAGTCATGTAATTAGCCGCCTTATACTTTTGCCTGGTGTTCTTCATCTTTTGAACCCTAAAATCATTGCAGTCGGGCAACGTGCGTGATTGGCTGCCTTCAAAGCGTCCGGGCTGTGGGTGGGTGGCTAGGCAGCCTTTGCCCGACGGGTAAGTTGTTCAGGGAGCATGATTGCGTTTACATCACGTCCCGAGTCGACATGGATGCACTGTCGACCAGTGCTTCAGCCCAAAACCTGGGGAGGAAGAGTACGTGCCGATCGGTCGCAGGGCTTGGGTAGCCACAGCCTGCTCCTACAAACGGAGGCCGCGACGAAGAGTGGTTCGTCTGCGAAAAGACGGGAAGGTCCATGGAAACAAATTCCCGTTGGTCGAGAGGTTCACCGCGTCATGTTTCGCAAGCATGCAGGCAGCCGTGTGGTTCGTTTCCTTCTAGAAATGGCGGTGCTGATGCGTTCCTTTCTTGGGTGTATCACTGGGGTTTGGGGGTCTTCTCCATCTCGTCTCATCTTTTTAACCTTCCTCCTCGCTCATTCTTAGAGACTTGACAGCCCTCGGATTCCTTGAGTAGCGTCTTTCTGTCTGGCTCTCCCAGCGTTGCATCAGAGCGGCAACATGTCCTCCAAGGTGGGCTCATCGTCGATTCCGTTAGCGGTACGGACTTCGTTTGTGCGATGTATCCAGAAGAGACTCTTCCGTATCTGTGCAGTTTGTACGATACTATTCCTTGGCGTAACGATACACCTTACTCGCGAGACCCTTCCTCAACACCATGCGCCGTTTGAAGCACCGGAAACGAAGCTCGTTGTCCATGGCGATGTCTTGGACGGTCTACCAGAGCCCGCAGAGGACTTACAACCATTCCCATACTCGCCAATGGTAGCAGACGACAGTTCCGACAACAATGAGGAACATGCACCGTGGCTTGCGGCCGTTATATCCACGGCTTCGGATGTTGAGCGTCGAATGCTCATCCGGTCAACTTGGATGAGACTCTATGAGGACGTTCCGTTCGATGGTCGGTTTGTAGTCTCGAATCCCGGGCCGCAGTGGATGGAAGTTGTCTCACGCGAGAATAACACGTTCGGCGACATGATTGTCCTTGATCATATTCAAGAAGACGATGTCACGGCGAATACGATAAAGACTCTCGAATTCTATAAGTGGCTTGTCAACAAAAGCCCAAAGTACGAGTTCGTCTCGAAGATGGACACCGACTTGTGGTTGAATGCCAGGGGATTCTGGGACCGTTTCCTTCAACCCAGATTGTCGATGAATAATGAGAATGGACGCTTTGAGAGTACCATTAATCGGACCGTCATCGGAGAGCTGTACTACTCGAAGTACTGGGATCTCACGTTTCCCCACGGAGCCATGTACACGGTAACTTGGGATATGGTTGAGCTGCTGTCGTCACTTCAGGAGAAGTTCAAAGTCGTAACTGGAGAGGACATGGCTGTTGGAACACTCATGTTGAAGGGACGCGAGCGAGCGAGCTTCATCAACTTCAAAGGCTCGGAGAAGTTTGACTACGACGACCGTGATGCGCGACAGGACGGCTCAGCATGGGCAAGGAAACATACGCACCCGAATTCAATCGACCACGCGCTTGTGGAGGACGATCCTATCGCCGTTCACCAACTCAAAGATGAGGCATATTGGTTCAAGGTGGCGGATTGTTTTGATGAGGACGGGGTCAAATCGATGCCGCCGCAATCCAAGTACGAGACCCAAAGACCTATGTCGATGCGATGGCATGATTTCTGGTACTCGGTGGGCGTCTCGAGTCGGTATGAGTCGAGGTTTGATAAAATACCGGACTTTCTTTGGACGTTGGAAAACGGTGATTGGATATGCGATGACATTTGGAACTTGGGAAAGACCAAGACGGGGTTCGTTGAGGAGTAGTGACAGCCCATTTGTGAGCATTTTCAGCGACTCGGAGATACCATAATGGAGTTAGCTTGTTTTTCGTCGTTGCTTGCCAGTCTACAGATACATAGAGAATCAGACTGAAGTTACAGCATATCCAAGGTTCGACGCGCAGTCTCATATTCCACCTAATGCATCTAGCCCAGCGGCTCTCAGCCTTTGAAGACAACGTTATTGACGCAAGGGGTGATTGACGATGACACAATATTTGTTAAGCTAGATAACGTTGAGGCTGATGAAAACGTTGGCTCGCTTACCCAAGTCCGCCGTAAGCACGATTCCCAATCGAAACTGGACTAGTCATGAAACCGACAGCCGTATAATCCTTCGGTCAAGTCGCGGATAGAATTCAGCCCGGCCTCCGTTGCTCCTCGACCCATTCATGTGTGATGGCGGCTTTTCTCAAGCCACATGGACAAATATGTCCCGGATCGACGAAACCAGGCAGGGCTTAGCCGGAGCAACATAAAGCGCGACCCCGCAGATTCTTTTAGATAAAAGGATACGATGTTCTACACGAAACGCATTCATTTCAAATACTCTCAGCAGACAACCCGTTTATCTTGTATACCTATACCATGGCCACGACAATCGTGCTCATCACGGGTGCAAACCGTGGTTTGGGTTTGGGCCTCCTCCAACGTTACCTTGCTTTACCGAACCACACTGTGATTGCGGCAAATCGTACCCTTTCGAATTCCAAAACTCTTGAAAGTTACTCAAAGGGCGAAGGAAGTCGGCTGGTTGTTGTCAAGATTGATGCGACCGTGGAGAAAGACGCCCATGACGCCGTGGCAGAGCTACAGAAAGATCATGGCATTGACCACCTCGACATTGTCATCGCTAACGCCGGCGTCTCTTCTGTCTGGCCAAGCGTCGCAGACCTCAAGATCTCAGATTTACAGGCCCACATGGAACCCAACGTCTATGCTGTCGTGTCACTTTTCCAGGCGACACGCCCGCTACTCAAGAAGTCATCAAGGGAGCCAATTTTCACGCTCATGGGATCCACTGCCGGCTGCTTGGAGTGAGTCTTAAAGCATTCCTTTAAATTGTGGTCATGGAAACTAATGCAGACGACAGAAATCAGCCGCCCATCACCAATGGTGCTTACGGGCCGTCGAAGGCAGCGGCAAATTGGTTCGGGATCAGGATTAATGCCGAGGAGGACTGGCTGAACGCTTTCGTCCTTTCTCCTGGCTGGGTGCAGACCGATTTGGGCAACGCCGGCGCGCGTTACTTTGGGCTGAAGGAGGCCTCTATCGGAGTCGACGAGTCCTGCGACGGCATGATGGAGGTTCTAGCGAACACGACAAAGGAGAAGCATGGAGGCAAAATGGTGGTTTACAACGGAGAGACTTCTGGCTACTGAATACGTTCGAAAAGAAGCTTTTGGTAATAGAACTCGATATTCAGTTTTGAAAGACATGTTCGTGGTTATGTGAGACTTTGTCGAGGTGTCCATAGCGGGCCGATCGTCGAAGTACGAATCGACGCGGCTTAAAGAGATAGCTTCAGTGCCGACTCAAACCAGCCCAAAACTCGGATGGCTGTCTTCCGCACAATGAAGTCGGAAAAAAAGACCACAAGTTGCACCGACGGCCGGACTTGAGTAAAAACATCCCCCGGTATGCGGTTCGGACACGGACAGTTTTGCGGGAAATCTGCGGGTCCAGCGCGGGGCTCTAGCGGAAGACTTGCGGAAGCCATGCAGACCCCAGCAAGAAAAATTTCAGAAATCCCCGACAAGTCTGGCAAGGATATGAGGTGTTTTTTGACTCTTCCGCGACTCGCCAATTGGCTCAACCGCAACTAGCGACTCTGCAATCAAACGCAACCCCAATCTCCACACGCAAAATTCTCCAGCACACCACAACCGATCTTCCGCCCACCACCCACGCCGCCGCTTCACAAGCCACTCATCCGCCGCTCTCTTCAACAATCAATGGTTTCGTGGTGTAGTTGGTTATCACGTCAGTCTAACACACTGAAGGTCTCCGGTTCAAGTCCGGGCGAAATCATCCTTTGGGCGAATGGTTTAGTGGTATAATACTCGCTTAGCATGTGAGTGGTCCAGGGTTCGATTCCCTGTTCGTCCAGCTTTTTGCCTGTAGAGACCCCGTAATGATGTTCTCTGGTTATTGCGTTGTTTTTGACGTATGATCATGGCTGTTGAAGGCCATATGAGATGGTGTGATGGGATGCTTGGTTGTGCTGTGGTGTAGCACTACTTGTAATGAAGCACCTAGAGCGGACCTCTACTGTAGAGAGGAAGTGCGAGGGCTGCTTGCGGATTGTTTATGTGTTTGGGTATTGTTATGCTACACGCTGTGAAATTGAAAAGCGAAATAACAAGCCGAATGATGTTAAGAATGTCGAGAGCTTGACGTCGATGGCCCAGCTGCTACAACTGAAGACATACTTGCTCCCTCGGCCTAGCTTTCGTCTTGCTGTTGTATTCTATGTTCTCCGGGTATTGACATTTGTGTGTTGATTATGCATGCATATACCTGCGACTCTTGAACTGGCGAAAGTGACATCTGCTTTCAGTGGCTAAGCACTCATGAAATTCTACTCCATAATACTATTTGCGGGTATTTCTGGTGCTGAAGACGTCCCAAAGCATTCTCATTGCAGATCTGCCAATATTTGTGGCTGCCATCGATATGTCTCAGCCACGAGGCAGAAATCTGGGCTTACGTGCGTGGCAAGAACACGACCAAGGGTGTACTGTCTTTGACAAATTGTTTGCTGTGTTACGCTTGTAATGACTGAGTACTTTACTTGTCCAACGAAGAGGTGTTCACACGTCATCACATCTCTCTCAGTGGCACTCACGATGGTGTCACCGTGTCATTGGTTTGCATCAACATATTAAATAGAAGTCGCGACTCGCAACGTCCGGGTTTGAACTCAGTTCTTTCAGCATCAGAGCTAAAAGTTGTCTTCGTATCAATATCTCCAACGTCATTATGTGTCTCCCGTTGCGCTCGAAAAAACACCGTATCGAAGATTCCTCCGAGAAACCCAACTCTGAGACTCGGCCTGCAAAGGTTCAGTACTGGGGCTCGATGCCAGGCCATAGTCATCTTGCAGGCGGAGCTCACCAGGCACAATTCTGCAACTCCATGGAACGAAGAGGTCGCCCGGCCCCGAGTGTTTACGGAGGACCCGTGGGGTTCTAGGACGCGGTCTGCGTCCAAAGAGGAGGATCATGGGTCAATTGCAGGAGGTTTCCGATGAGAAGATCGACAGGGTACGTCGCTGAGCTTGGTTCAATGTCTCAAATTCTGTTCTTCTCTCGCCCTAGGCCAGATGTGTCTTTCATTGCGCTCTAAGAAGCGCAACCCCGAGAGCTATTGCACTAAGCCTCGTCCTTCCGAAACGCCGCAATGGTGCACCATACCCATGGACGGCTACTATTATCCTTCCAGCAGCGGGCAGAAGACAGCGTACTCTGACTTTGACGCTCGTATCGGCAGCCACGGACATTCAAGTCAAAGAATGTGGGATTGGTGTGATTATCCCGGAGACAAGGGTTACTATCAAGGTCATGGGTTTGGGGGATCAACGGGAACTGGAGGAGATGGCGGTGGTGGTGACGGAGGGGATGGAGGTAGTGATGGAGGCGGTGCATGATGAATATTAGGGAACATGGTGTTGCTAAGATGCGAGACGCAAAACCGATGCGCATGTTTTGGATAATGGCAATAAAAATAAGCCACATGCAATAGTTCTTTCCTTGCTCCGTAAAGCCAACATCAACAAGTTTTGTCGAGAAGTGTCGTCCAATTGAAACCAAAAGCTGGGGCACGATGCCCGGTTGTAGCCATCTCTACGACGGCCGACACCGCGATGAGTACAGCAGTCGCCTTTAACGCTCAAGTCGGGGCAATGGTGGGGGATCGACATGCCGGCGCTGTTTCGGCCGTGGCTATACGAACTCCGGACATCGCCAGAAATCGTGCAAATACACAGAGTATGGATGACTTCAAAGCGTCTGGTAAGAATATGATGGAACATAAGTCTTGTGTTCTCGTCGAGGAAATTTGCAAGAGGCCCAAGGTCCACAGGCGGGAGGCACGTGGATGGCCTACCCGGAGGGAAGAGAGGGTGTGTTATTCTGTGCATTACTCACTCCTCTTCGTCTGATGTTTCCCATCCATGGAATTTGAGTTTTCCTTCACCAAGATCAGAAAAGGCACTCATCGTCCTCGTCCCCCCGCATCGGCTAACTTGACCCCAAACATTACCCTCCGCCGCTCAATCAAAACATCTTTTTACCTCAAGCATTGCGGACAATATGCCCGATACCGAGTCATAGCTCTTCAGCAACCTTAGAAAGAATCCATTACTGCATCTTCATAGTCAACATGTGCCTGCCATTACGCTTCAAGAAGCGTTTCTCCAGGAGATCTGGCGCCAGTTCGCCTCCCTCAGCGACACCATATTGGGGCTCTCTACCGAGGCCCGGCTATTACTATCCCTCGAGCGACGGCCAGGGCACAGCGTACTATGACCCCAGTGCCCAGCCTGGCGAGAGCAGAGAGGATGTTCGCGGTGCAGGCTACTACGGTGGTCATGGTTTTGGAGGAGGCGGAGGAACTACGGCCGGGAATGGGAAAAACGTCGGTGGGTACGGAGGGAGTGGCAGACTTAGACTTTCAGGGCGACAGGAAAGACTTAAATAAGAAGATATGGTAGCATGGCTCGATGGATGGTAACATCGGGGGTCTATTGAGGACAACCTATAATGATGGAACAAACGGCACAGAATAGTAGCTGCGTATGACAAGGAGAGGCGGAAGGGCCTTGGTGCAGGTACCTAATGAACAAGAAATCATCCATTCCTGAATAGTATGGAAAATATTTAAATCGGCCCCTGATGACAACATCATCAATGAAAATGACCATGCAGGAAAAGCGAAAGGCACGGCCATGGGGTGGTATATCAACAGCCCCAAAAAAGTGCAGACGGGGTCTGGTACGATGAACCACAGGCAAAAAGACTCATTCATCTACTGAGAGCTTGCAGTCTATGAAGAGTGGATGAAACGAATCCTCCATATACTTGGACGCCTTCGTTCGCAAAGTGTCAATCACCCAGAGTGCAGGTCCCAAACGGCCACCCACTGTGACAGTCACACCGAACATGCATGATGACAGCCTTCTTGGCACGTCAGAGCTGCATGTACGCCACCTTTCCGGATGTTCTTGCATATTACCCTGGCTTACGCTGTTGGATTTTCCTCTTCTAGTACCATGTAGCGCCCTACTTTCTGCATTTGATAACCCCCCCGGGAAGAAGACGTTTGTAATGTCCTCTTCGTTTGCTGCAATTCCGGTATTCTCTCCGAATGCATGTGTCTCGTGTACCGCAGCTCGTTGAGATCATGGTCGCCCTGACCTAGACTTATGTTCAGGTACGTGCTGATCCATTTGATCAAGTATACTCATTCCATCAGCCCTGGCAAAGGGGAACTGCAGCTCTTAGAGTGAGGCGATGACAGTTTGCTGTTTCCTCTAGTATCTGACGTTATGCTAAGGGTTAGAAGACGCGACTTTTCATTCTTCAAGAGCGATGTAGATGCCGGTGCAGGTACCGCCCAAGTGCTTAAGGTACCTACGCAACTGAGCAAGTACCGGACAGGGGTCGCAGGCTGTGTGTGGCTTGATCGAGAGAACGATTTGTTGGAATCGTTGCCTTTCTCACGGGAATTGGACGGACATCCAACGATACCGGAAGCACAGCCTCAAATAATAGCATCTTATCAGATTTGATCTTATCTGCAGCTGCCCCTGTATTTTCAGTTCCATGACTCCATTCCCGCCAGGTCCATTGGGTGCAATGCCCTGTCGAGAGTGGATATCCCGAGGCAGGCTGAGCGGCGAAGCTCGCTGTACCGGTGTATGAGGACCGATGAGCAGACCACTTCTGCCAGGCATCAGTTGCCTTTTCTCTTTCGCCTTGATGGGCAGCTTTTTGATACTGGTATATAGGTTACAGAAAGGAGTTTTCGAATAGAAAGGAGGATGTTCTACAAGGCAGTCTTGTGAGAAATATCTTGCTCCAATATGCCCGCCATGGATGTTAGAAAGTCTGGCCAATACAGCCCACCGAATCTCACCCAACCGAGGGTCGAAGAACCCCGAATTGACGACCATGTTGTTGAAGAAACGGTCTCTGAGGACTTGCCATCTAGCCTCAGCGAGAAGCACCCATCAGAGAACGAAAGCCCTGTCGATTCAAATGACTACGATTCACGGTACTTGGGCAGTGTCAATGAGAGCTCGTCAGAGCACTGCACCCCGGAAGCATCGGAACTACCTTCCAACGGTAGTCCTCATACGGGCATTCCCGGCCTGCATGGGGGAGCCCGGCAATCCGTTCTCTCACCCTGGCTTTCCGACATCTACCGCCTTTTAGTCTCCATCCTTCTTCTTGCCGCTATATACGCGGTCCTCCTTTCACAGAATAACAAGCTTCAACGAGACTGGAACATCCACATCACCCTTAACTCCATCGCCAACATTCTCTCGACATTCTTGCGAGCGTCCATCGCCACCGTCGCCGCGGAGATCATCTGCCAGACGCGCTGGACGTGGTTCTGGTCTGTCAGGTCATCAGACCCAGATCGCCACATGTTGGATCTGCAGCACTTCACCAACGGCAGCAGAGATGCGTTTGTGGCCTTGCAGCTCGCGAAACTTGTCAAGTGGCGCAGTCCCTTGACGCTCATGGCGACCATCATCTTTGCAACATCCTTCGCGATCGGTCCTTTTGTACAGCAGGCCATCAAGACCGTCGAGCGCACCGTGCCGGAGGCCGGGAAGCCTGCTAGTATTCCCATAGCACGAAACATCAGCGCCGAGCCTTACTTCCTCGGAGACTCCTCCGTTGTGCTGAAAGCCAGTACCGTCAACGCCTTGCAAGCTGCTCTGTTGAACCCCAGTGGTATCAAAATCGTGCCAAATTGTCCTACTGGTAACTGCACTTTTACTGGGTTGAACTCGGGCATGTCAATTGCTTCAATCGGGGAGATCACACATGCCTCTGCTGGAATATGTGCGGAGTGCACCGATGTCAGCTCTTTGATTGCAGCAACATTTGATGATTCGACTAAAAATCTGTCTTTGCCTAATGGAATGGAGCTTTCCCTCTCTCAGGGGTATGAGACGGAAATGATCTTCCGACCGGGTGACCTTTCGTGGGCTGGCGGCATCGTGTCGGAGAATGCGCGCTCCCTCGCCGGCCTGGCGCTGTCTAATACGACAGTCCTCGCTGTAGAGACAGCGAGCAGTGATGGACACAATAAGTCTACTGCCAACTCATTGGCTTTGTCGTGCTCGTTCTACGCATGTTTGCGGAGCTACTCGGGCATGGTTCAGGGGACGGAGTTGAAGGAGGAACTTCTGTCTCAGGTTCCCATGCACAAACCTGATGGCTCCAACGATACGTCAGAGGGGCAGAATGGTTCAGGGGGGACAAACGCAGTGAGCCGGGTGAGCAGCAGGCGTTGATGAGTACAAAAGAGATGGAGGACGGAGCCCGCGACACTCGAGTGCAGTTTTCTCGGGTTCGCGGAGAGGAAAGCAAGACCTTTCGGTGGATTATCAGATGACGTGACACCAAGCTGGCTAAACATTAAGATGCGTCAAAAAGCCTTTAGGGCTCCCTGTACGGTCGTAGAGTTGAGGTTTCCACATAGAGACCAATGGTGGCGGAGGTAGTGAAGAACGAGACAGGGGTAGCGATGAAGGCAGAGGCAAATCGTGAAGTTCACGATCACAAAAGTCGCGTAAGAAACCAGCAGCATCACACGTCTTTTAAACGGCCCGAGTAGGTGTCAATAATGTACGAAGCCACGCAATACAGTGGTTATGATGTCCAGAGTTGTTATTTATGAACTGAACTTCTTTCGGTGATCCCCTGGGCTTTTGAAGAGATTCTCTGAAGACAGATGCAGCTGCCTAGAATTGAAACCTGATCGATGAGTCCTCCTACCGCTATCTCAATTTCCATCCACATAATTTGCCCCGAAAGCAACCACCGCAACTGCGACGCCTCCAAAAGCGCAAACAGTACCTGCGGCAGCACTGTACAAAGCCTTGTGTCCTACGACGATGCCGCTCACAGCCTTTTGCATCAACTTCACAATAAAGTCTTGCTGGTTCGTGACGCCAAAAACATACGCCTTCTGATCTGGCACGTATGACAGTAGTAGACAAGAGTCGTCGAGATAAGTCAATGTCGGAGTTTTAGCGGAGTAGGACTGACTCTTATCCCCAATGGTCCATGTGAAGTTGGTCTGATCGGGACGAAAAAGCCTTCCCCAATCCGATGTACCGATCGTGAGTTGGCCTTGGGTGTCCTGAACATCGGCTTCGGGGTATTCCTCCGGTCGACCTTTGATTGTGAATTGGACCAGGAAGGAAGCGCCTTGACCGCGGCCAAGAAGATCTTTTGTGCGAAACGCAAAGTCGCCGAGTTTGGCGCCTCTGTCTTTGCTCGAGGGTTTGGCATCTTGAACCTCCTGTGCTGTAAACGTGTGGGGAACAGACATTTTGTAGGCCGGCATAAAACTAGCATACATGTTGGAGGGTGTGTTGTCCGTGATCTTGTCAATAGTTAGAGTCATCCCCTTCGGCAGAGTGGTGACGAAGAGGGGAACGGTCATTTGTCCCGCACCCATGGTGGTATAGATCGATTGAAGTGACGTATTGGAACTTGGAAGTAGTAGTGTGGTGTTTTGATAGAATACTGCAGATACCGGCCTGGCTTACTGCGGGTCTCTTGCGTCTTTAAGTACGAGGGCGCAGATGCTGGTAACACGTAGTTTCTGTGCAAAAGGCGGTCGCGCACAGCTAAGCCGATCAAATGTCAGCTCCAAAGTTGAGTCATGTTGAAGCACCTATCTTTCTAATCACAGCTGAATGTTTCGGTGTTTTCAGCTCGCGTAACAACGTGGCTTGAAGCCAGCACGGTCTTGCAGCGCCCATCATTTACAAATAGGAAGGTTCTGCTTGCCTCAAAGCACAATGCATGATGCAGATTAATATGCGATCAGGGGAAGGCTTAAGGGAGGCTGGAATCGAGCATAATTGAATGTGAACAAGTCTATCGAAGCGTATTGCGCATTATCTAGACCTCTGGAAATGAGGGCGTTATTCACAGGGACGCAATATTTTCCCTTGCATGTCTCAGAGTTCTCGGATATACGTTGCTGGATCAGTCGGTACTGTGTAGTCTCAATCGGGTTAGAAGACACCATGATTTAGCCGGATGTGGCTACTAACAATCCAGATGGCACGTAAAAATGACTTGAATCAGCTTTCAGTAGGACAGCCTCATGGAGTGACCGTGTCTTACACGTTCTCGGGGTAATGTTTCTCCATTTACTCGTTCTACCCCAGCACCTCGTCACTTGGCCAAGTACCGTTCTTGTCTGCAATATTGGAATTCAGGGAAGCCATCTCAAGAAGCCGCGCTGGGAGGTGAAGCAGTGTTCTCTGAGCAAAAGCATTGATCCATTCCTGTATCTTTGCCCGACTACGCTAAAGACAGCGTGCAGGTGGTTTCTGGCGCAATGATTTGAAGACACTGACCAGTGATTGAGTGCCAAAGGTCTCTACGCGACTTTATTAACACATCGCCGTTAGCTGCAACGCAGTCGTCTGCCGTGTGTTAGTTCTTCCGGGGGAGGGGGGGGTAGAAAGTTGGTGGCGGCCTTTGCTCCCCCGTGAGCTACTGCAATAGTGACTATGGGCACAACACTCGGAGATTCACTGAAGATTGAGTCAAGACGCCAAGGCAGGCGGCCGTAGCTCTTGTGGCTGCTCGCAATAAGTCAATCTTCGTAACGTCTCATGCGGAAGTTCCAGTCACTGATCACCCAGGCGATTCCATGAAATGATCGAGACTGGATCTACTGGGAAGTCAAAATATTAGAAAGACTTCCGACGAATTTCCGTGGAGAGCTCCGAAATATCCCTGGGAGACGGAGTCTGCCCCACAGCTCCGGCTCCGAACGGGCGCGGGCCCGCCCCTTCATCGTTCGGAGTCCAGTGGAATTGAAGAGCCGCAGAATCCATACTGTCTTTAATCCATTCAATTCAAAATCTGTATCAAACAAATTCTATTCCTCATGAATGTGCCTGTATCACTCAATACCTAGGCGGATTAGCTGAATAAGGTATGTTCTATCCCTGACACCCCTGCATCGGCCCCATGCAGATCAGGGTCCAGAAACCCTCCTGCATCCACCACAGCCCACGCAACGCAACATGAGCATCATTCCCGACTCACCCAGCATCTCAGTTCACCAAAAACTGTCAAGCGCCGATGGTTTAGTGGTAAAATTCTCCGTTGCCATCCAGCAGCGTCGGGGAGCCGGGGGTTCGATTCCCCCTCGGCGCAATCTTTTGCTCCGGGCGTCAAATGGCCCGTAATCATGTCTTCTTTTTGGTATGGGAGGATATCAGGGGTTGAGTAAACAGTGATGAAATATGAATGAATGCTATATGTAACCCGCTTGGCGACCGGCCGAGCAGAGAGACAGAAAGAGAGACATATATAGTACAAGATGTACAAAGGAATGACCACAAGCTGAGGTTCGACGACAGACCTCACGACCTCCCAGACGGCGCACTCGAACTCGACCTCCGCCTTTGGGTCCCCGGCCTCGCGTCGCCGTTCACCCTCCCGTTCTGCTGCCCCTTCGCCATCGCCTGCGAAGCCGCAATCACAACCGTCTGGTCCGACCACAGCCCAACGCCGGGGTGTATCACATTAATGGTGTCCTCGCTCTCCTCCATGACGACCTGCGGGAACAGCGTCGCACACACGTCCCCGGGGCCGCCCGCCGCCAGCTTCGACCGCGCACCGTACTCATCCCACATCCGCGGCCGCTGGCCCTCGTCAATCTCTTCGATATCCTCGTCCTCGAGGTCCTCGCAGAGGACGAGCTGCTTGGAGCGCTGCAGCTCGGCCCACATCTTGACGCCGGCCTCGAAGAAGCGCGTGAGACGCTGCTGGAGGGGCAGGTACTTTGTCGCGGGCACGAAGGCGCACAGCTCGCGGTAGACCTCGTCCTTGGCCTGGGCGGCGACGGCTTTTGCGGAGTCGTTGCGGTCGCAAGCGGCGAGGATCTGGCAGCGGAAGATGGTGGCGCGCTGGACGTCCTCGGAGAGGTACTCGAGGACGTCGGCGCCGGCGTGGTGGATGTCCTGCGGGAGGAAGAAGGGCTGGAAGATGTGGGAGCGGAGAAACTTTGCGATGACGGCTTGGGCGACGAGGCAGCGTAGGTCTGGGGTCGAGCCGGACTTGGGGATGGGGACGCGTTTGAGGTAGTCGAGCTGGTGGGGGAGGGAGACGGTGTTCTGGTTTATGTAAGTCTTGTGATGGTTGGAGTTGGCGTGGTCGAGGGATGGGGCTTACCAGTGAGTTATCTGGTTCTTTGAAGAACTCGGTTACCAGGCCTCGGGATTCCTCGGCGAATGCGTCTATTTCACGGCGGCTGTGTGTCTATTAGCTCTTCGTCCATCGATCGTCATGGCGGTTTGACTTACAATCTGGCAAGCTCGCGGTCCTCGTAGTCATGTAAAAGGTTGACCCCAACGTCCTTGTGCAGTTGGCGGAGTTCGCCGTCTAAGACGGTTAGTTCCGCTTCCCGCTGTTGAAGATCTGCCGCCAGAAGCGTCTTTTCTCTTGCCATCCTCTCCTTCTCGTCCGTCAGAGACTCGATCTGAGACGACGACTTTTCCGACAGCTGCTGCAGCTCCGCGACCCTCTGTCTCGCTGCCTCGGCCTCTTCCTCCTTCTTTTGAAGATCTTGCTGCGCATCCGCGAGCTTCTGGCCGGTGGCGGTGTTCTCGGCCTTTGTCTGGTTGTGGACGCCGACCCTCTCCTCGAAGCCTTCGATGAGCACACGGCGGGCCTCCTTTTCGGTGTCGAGCTCGGCCTTGAGCTGGCTGACTTTGGTGTCGGTCTCTTCCTGGATGAGTCTGACCTTGGTGTCTGCCTCTTCCTGGATCAATCGGACCTTTTCGTCGGCCTCTTTCTTGGTGAGCTCCACCTCCTGGTCCTTGGCAGTCAATGCGTCGTCCCTGTCCTTCTTGACGGCGTCGATCTCGTCGTTCTTCTCCTCGACTTCCATCCGTAACCTCTTTTCGCTCTCCATGAGCTTCTCGAGGTCGGGAAGGCCGCCGAGTTCCCTCTCCATGTTGTTTGCGGAAGAGACCATGTTGCGGATGGCTTCCAAGAGCTTCGAGCCTTTGAAGGCCCCTTTGCCATTGCCGTTCGTCATGCCGTTGGTGGCGGGCTTCGTCTTGGATTCTGCTGCCATCTTTGCGAGAGGGTTGGGGAAAAGTGCGTGATCAGAACAGTCTTCCTTTGATCGCACAGAGTTCCGAGAGAGGACATTATATGCCCCGGACTTCACAGCAAGACCGAGCCCAACGCCGTCGCCGAAGACTCGCTTCATTGGCCGCCTCGAACGTATGTTGGCCCGGGTCATATCTCATGATTTGCCAATGTCGGAGGCCGACTGAGCGGATGGTGTGTTGTTCGCATGTGGTGGCGGCTCATTCGTCGAGCTCGCCTCGTTGGGTTTTTCGTCCAGTCGAGAACGGGTTCGGTTCGCCTCCTCGGGCATGGTCGCGCTACATCCGGGCTGCACGTCTGTCTGGTGCGGGGTGGCCGGGACCGTAGCCGCCGGCGAGGCTGCGGGGCGCGACCGAGAACGGTTGGAGAAGACGGCGCATCGGAACATGTAAGAGTCGCTGGAAATAGCAGTTGTGGCAGGACGGGATATCTTATCGGGTAGCAATGGGCACACGACCGTCGACAGTCGCGTCGACCCAGTCGTCTTGTCAAGCGCCAACTGGCGCGCGCGGGGGAGAGGAACGTTGGGCAGACGCGGACGTGTCAGATTTAGGCGATTGCCCAACCTGTGCCCGAACGCCGATAACCGACTGCCCGCAAGTTGTCTAGGCGTAGCCATCAGGAAGCATCCGTCTCCTGTTCTCAAAGAGATACAAGAAGATCTCTTGTGGCTCCCCGCCCAACATTGGCAGTGGCATCGCGGCCTTTTCCGTAACCGCCCAACCATCCTTCTTGACCAGTTCCCACAGTCGATCTTCGTCAGCGTGGCGGACCTTCATCGCCACCAAAACTCGAGTGACAACTGGTTTATCTTCGGCCATTGCGTTATTCTGCTTGTGGATGGCTGACCAAGTGTCAATCAGAGAAGGCAGCGCATCGGCGTTGTAGGTGCAGTCGCTCAAGACGATCAGATCCCAGTGCGTGTCTTCGACGAGTGGCCCAAACGAGCCGTCCCGACCTTCATCCCAGTCGAGCTCTTCGAACTGCGGCTCAGTGTGATTGCTTCTCGACAGTTCGATGTTGGAAAGAACTCGTTCCTCGGCTTCGGAGAGGTCCGTGATCACAAGTCGACCCTTTCTCGACATAGTCTCCCGGCCCAGCATATGAGCAAGTCCGAGACCAAAGATACCGACGCCACACCCAAGCTCAAGGATATTAACGGGTTTGTTGCCGAACAGGAGAGACTTGAGGGTTCTCATGCCCAAAGGATGACCTGCAGCCGTGCCAGAGTCGCCGTTGCAGAGTAACCACAGCCGCGAGACGACCATCATGCCAGCATCCCAGACGTGGCGCGCGATGCTTTCGCCGATGTCCTCCTCGACCTCGATATACGGCTGATGCTCACTCCCGAGCCGCAGGCGTCGGAAACAGGTCGTCGGCGCACCGGGGGAATCCCCGTATGCTTTGTAGCCCTGGATCGGAATGTCCACATTCGCCCAGAGGGGCACAATCTTCCCATCCTCGCCGTTGAACCCAGCCATCGCAACATCCGCCGCAGTCTCCGCCGACAGCCCGGATCCAGCTGCGATATAGACCCTTAAGGGAGTCTCGCCGGAAGGAAGGTTCCGCTCAGGCTTCAGGTGCTGAGCCGGGAAGTCTGCCTTCAGAACTCGCATGCCAGATGTCCACTGCAGCGTCTTCTCTCCCGCAAGAGTCATCGGGGCTGGCTTCTGCCTAGCGCTGCGAGGGTTCTCCCAGCCGAGAGCGACCTTGATCTTGACTGGCTCATCGTGAGCGAGGAACGACTCGCCCAGATCGGTGGTGACGGTGAGTACCAGGTTCAGAGACCAGGGGTTCTTCTTCCCCTCCTGAAAGGTGAGCTTCGGGGCTCGGAGGAGCCGTATGTAATGCATTGGGCCTGTTCAGTCAACTTTTCGTGTTCCCGCTCTGGGCGTGGTGCATGAAGTCTTGTTGACGATACAGTGAAAACACAGTGGAAAACTCGGGGCCGGCTTAGTCATGCGCCCGGGACTGTTGAAGTCCCACAAAATCACCTTGAGGTGCTCATCTCAGCGGCTTTGCAATTCTCAATCTTTTCCCCCTCGACAACTCCTTTACACGCCGTGAACCTATGCCGCAGCAGCGCAACGATGAGGCCGATCCAGTGATCCCTCAGGTCCACCACTGCCGGCCTGGCAGTGCCTCAAACCGGAGGTCGCCGCGACCGGACGCAATGGAGAACAGCCCGCGCTACGGACGCCTCCGATAGCAGGAGGTCGGCGCCACTTCTTCGCCGTGATAAGCATCACGGCGATAAAAACCATCGGCCAATCCACCTCGCGATTTTCCCGTCTGAAGGGTTTCCAAGCCAAGACGAACTGCCTCAAATTGACCTTTACAAACAACACTAGGTGCCAGCACATCTTGTCCACCCTAACTACCTAGCTTCAAACCAGCGAACACTACACAGCATGGCCGATGAACCTCTCCCCCAACGCGACCCCAAGACCCTCCTCTCCGCCCTCCTAACCCTTACCGAAGCGCGCATCGTGCCCCTAACACAACGCGGCGTGTCGTCCGGCAGCAAGCTCTTCGGCGCCGCCATCCTCTCCTCGCAAACCCTCGAGCCCTATACCGTCGCGACCAACGACGAACGCACCTCTCCGCTGCTGCACGGCGAGATCAACTGCATCCAGCAGTTCTTCACAACCACCCACCCGGACCCGGCCACGCGCCCGTCGCCGCGGACCGACTGCCTCTTCTTCGCGACCCACGAGCCCTGCTCCCTCTGCCTTAGCGGCATCACCTGGTCCGGCTTCCGCGAGGTGTACTACCTCTTCACCTACGAGGACAGCCGCGACCTGTTCGCGATCCCGCACGACATCAACATCCTGGAGGAGGTATTCCGCGTGCGCGCCGAGGGCGAGGGCGACGAGGCGCTCGCGCGGCGGGAGCTGTACAACCGCACCAACAAGTTCTTCACGGCGCGGAGCGTGGCGGACCTGGTGAGGGAGCTGCCCGACGAGGGGGAGCGGGCGCACTGGACGGCCGAGGTGGAGCGTGTCAAGGGGCTGTATAACGCGTTGAGTGACACGTACCAGGAGGGCAAGAAGGCCGGCGCGGAGAGCTCGAGCGTGTGGAAGTGAGAAAGTAAGCGGCTGGCTTCATTCGTCAATGGCTGCGTTGGCAGGCTTATTTTGGAGCGGCGAGGTCGGCGGAGGCTGGGAATCGGCGCCGGTGACGCGCCGGTGACTCCAGCGGTTTGAGGGCCGGCGAGGCGGCTATTTTAGCATGCGCTTTGCGTCTATGCTGGCGGAGGCTGGCGTCTGTAGTCGCAATCTAAAGATAATGCCAGCACGACATCTTTCTAGTTTGGTTCTGCGACACTATGGCGTTTCCCATGAACACCCCAAGATTCGCCTGAATAGCAATTCTCCGAGTGTCAAAATTCTGATGTTGACCCTTTTCGGGTCGCCGAGTAGAGACCTACCTCCGTCGTGACCCGGAAGGAGCGCTGCTGCAGAGATCAACATCGCATATAGCCCCCGGTGGCGGGGATTCCACACGCTCAGCCGGCCAAGAAGGCAGCGAGCGACGCGCAGAGTCCGAACCAGTCAGCACCTAGTTTACGTTTACTGAACCCCGAAGCAGGCATGCGGATGCGGCCGGTGAGCCAAACTTAACGCACTGTGCTGAAGAACCGGCGATTTGTGAGGGCAGCGGATATGCATGGCGGGGTAAGCACGGTCAGCACAGCGAACTGAATAGCGGGGTGTGGTTTGTATTTCTCTCGTCCATTCGTCCCCGTCGTGAGCGAGGTACATGACGAGGTACTTTGCTCCTCCACGCCCCTCCCTTGACGAGGTGCATCCGCAGGCTGTTGATTGGCTCGAATCGGGGGGATGGAGGGGGGAAAGCATCTTGGCCGTTTTCCCATGTGGGTTCTCTTGCGTGCAGAACAAGCGTCGCTCGGCGTGGAGCGCACGTTGTGCCCGCCGCGGTTGCGGTTACGGGGTGCGCCCGGGTCGATGGATTTGCCCGCCGCATCTGTACCATACCAAACCAAGTTCCCTTTTTAACGAGTGGCATCGTCGTTGTCGGATCGGTCGGGAATGGCGCCTCGTCCCGAAGCTGAGGCGCGTTGGTTTGGATGAGCCACCGTACGAAGCCACCTTTGCTGGGTATGACGAGCTGACGAAATATTTCCTCCGCCCGCCCGTCAAGAAAATGCCACCACTACTTCTGCAGTGCGAGTATCTCAAATGTGGTCTTTCTGCAGACTGCGGCCTGGGTAGGCAATGAACTCCTCGGGACACAGACGGACGAGGGTGAGGGGGCTCCGCCGTCGCACAGCACCTCATGCTCGAGGGCGGGCATATCTAGGGCAGAGGGCTTTTCTGGAGGAAGGTCTCCGGAGGCTGCCAATAGCATGCGCACCCGTTGCTTCGTTTGTTGTCGTTGTTGGTCATCATCTTCCCCTCTCGGGTCTCGTCTCAGCAGCTAGCTACCCCTCTCTTCGTTGCATGCAGCAGCATCCGTGGCATCCCGGGCGGACAGGGAAGAAACGACGCAGCAGCCCACCGGCCGGCCGGCCAGACAAACAAACGCGGAGCGACAGGCGCGGGGATAGCGGCAAAAAGCCCTATCACGCGCTCCGTGAGTCTATTCCATAGACTGGGTCATGAAGGCCATGGCGGAAGGCTTTTTCTGGATGTTTCGTATGACCATGATGGTGAGGACAGGGACTTGGTTCAGGATCACTGCGGCGCGGACACGGCGGCTGTCGAAAGAGGTATCGCAAGCAGGGAAGCGTTGGTAATGTGGCCTGGTGTTCGTGGTGGTGTGCAGGTGACGACGCTGGGTGGACGCTGAGAAAAGGTGACTTTCACAAGATTGGACTGACAACTGACAGTTCGCGGGGTGGTCGAGTTGAGTTGGACGTGAACCCCTCCCACTGGGAACGGGCCGACACAGCACCTGGCAGCACGGGAACCGTCGAATGCCTGGGCTGGGTTCAGGGTTGGAGTTGGTGAAGACGGCACAGCTACGGCTGGACAGGGCCCTGGGCGTGTGCATCTGAGAAACAGTCAAGCCAACCCGTTCGGGAATGAGCACGGGGGTTGCAGCGCAGTGACAGACTGCCTGCGATGGGCTGGCACTGGCAGCACAGGACAGGGCCCAAAAATACCGTCGTGCGTTGGTGTTGGTGCTGTGCTGTGCCGCTGCTGCATGTTGTTCTCTTCTGCCTGCCGTGGGTTGCGTCTTGGTTCGTTTGCATGCTGCCTGGCTGCAGTCATTCCAACTCTTTTTCTGGAAGCCAGTGAACTTTTGCTTCCTAGATTGGCTTTGGGTATCAGCAGTGAGTAACACGGCAGCCGTGTTCCTGCGGTGCGAGGCGAGAGTGAGGTGAGAAGGCAGACGAACCCCCGGCGGGTGGTCAGCTTACAGAGCAGAGCAGAACATGGATGGTGAGGTGTTAGGGGCTGAGCTGCGAGACCACGGTGGTATTGCTGCCTCCAAGATAAGACTTCAGGTCTGTTTTTGGGGACATGGGGGTTGCTGTTGCATCTCCAGGTTGTGATGGCGGCTGGAGCCAGGCACCGAATTCGGTGTTGGTTGCTGAAGAAATGGAAAGGAAGGGATCTATGGCCATGATGTCAGCTGCTGTTTGACATGAACAGGAAACCAACCTGGCTGGAGGGGTCCTGAGTCCAGACGACGAACGAGGGGTTGGTTCCCTGCTTCCCCTCTTTCACCCCTCTTCCAGATTAGGAGTTCACTGCGATTTTAACCTGGCCCAAGGACACAGCAAGGCTTTACTGCCGAGACGGGAGAGATCTTGACGGACTTAGGTTTGACCTGCATTCCCGCGAAAAGTGCAGAAGTAAGCCCTCCATGTTTGTTCACTGCGATCTTGGTCCACACATAGAACATAGCGGTAGCCCATCGAGACGACAGACAACCAGCCGGCCTTGTATTGCCCTGCACTGCTGTAAAATCGAATCACCAACCAGTGACTTATGGTTTCCTACAGATCGCAACAGTCGTCACGATGGGAATCTCCAAGCATCAATGTCCTGCCTCCGAAGGCCAATGGCGAGGTGCAACGCAGTAGCCGATGGGGGGATGCCAGCAAAATGCCTCCTTTCGGACTTCACTGCGATTTCAGCCCATCCCGAATGCATAACAAGCCTTTGCATCCGAGGTGGAAAGGAAAGATCTGGTCGGCCTCATGCGTTCAACCTGCATTCCCACCCAACAAGGAAAAAGTTGCACTTTCATCTCTTCACTGCAAACTTAACCCACGCCGAGGGAGTTGTGGGCTTTGGTTCTCGAGTTTAGAGCCGTTGGGGGGGTCCCGAGTTCTCCATTCGGAAATCACTGCAATATTAACCTATCCCAAGGGCATGGCTTGTTCATGTCACCGAGACGAAAGAAATTGGGTTCTTGCGCGAGCCCAGCCTGCATTTCTGTGAGAAGTCGAAGGATCAGTCACTTGAGTGCATGCGACTTTACCCAACCGAGATGTTCTGCCAACTTCATCATAGGGAGAAATGCCGCGGGCACTCTGACTGCTCAGATGACTCTTTCGCCGTTGAGAGGGATTACCAGACATTCAAGGGACCTGAACCAACACATCAGCCCCCATCACCAGCGGGAGGAGCGGCATCCTTCAAAATCCAAAGTCCAAGACACGGCATCTCACCTCAAAGACAGGCCGTCACGCATCCAACATCCCACTGCCTCTGCCTCGTAAGGCTGCCATAGCCCCCCTTCCTCGTCCTCCTGTCCGGTGCTCCGTCCGGATCTAGCCCCCAATCGCAGCCCGTCACATCGCAACACAAGATGCTCACAACTCTCACAACGCCCCTCCATCACGGAAGCCCAATCACCACATTGCAAGCCACGGTAGCACCAACCGCAGCCTGCTTCTGCCCCTCGGAAGTACCTTGCACTTTCAGGCCTTAGGTTCGCATTTAGGAATCCCGTGCTGAGACATGCGGGCTTACCTGCGGCAAGTGTAGCCTACCTTGCCTGCCACTCAACCCCAAAGACACAGAGCGAGAAGAAAACGTGGGTGAGCCCCCCGGACTGCCGCTGCAGGTCATGGCGGCCGTTGATTGGCGACCTTAGCGCTGACCCAAGGACGCCATGCCCGTGCATCACCACCAACACCACTCACCCTTACGACTGACTCCCTCGGAATACCATCTCCAACCAGGTCCGGCCCTCGAGTGCCAGTCAGACAAACCACCCCCCTTTCCCCAGCCTTGCGATATTTTTCTTCTTCCTCGTCGCGATGCAGCCACACTCAACTCGCCCAGAAGCCAAACGGCGCACCCAAATTCAATCTACCCGCTCATCCGCCCGCAGCGCCGCCTCCATCACAGGCTCGTCACACCGAAGCCCCCGGTCAGGACCTGGACGAGTGCTCCCACACCAAGACACCAACCAACTTCTGTCCTTCCGTCTTCCAATTGAGCAATGGTTTTCCATCACAAGGCTACCCTCCCCTGCCTAGCAGCAAGTTTGTCAAACGCAGCCAACCACCTGTCTTGCGCGACAAACAGATTCACGCACTATTGTTTGTGACCGCCACCAGCCAGCCTCCTCTCCGTTGCCGCCGCCGCCAGAATTAACCACAACCACCACTATCACCAACATGTGCCCCTTTTTCGTCACATCACAAGAAGACGCACCGGAAAGTCCACCCGCGAAGAAAGAAGCCACACCGAACCACCCGCGGTAGCACAACCGTCCGCCGCCGTTTCGTCTCGGAAGCCATCATCCACCCCAATTCACACGTCCTCAAAAGGAAACAAGGACACACGCTTCCATCAGCCGAGCCTCAAAAAAGATGAGATCTGAGAATACGCTTCCTTTCTCCCTTCCACCCACCCATCCATTCCCAGCCTCGTCTCATCGCACAGGTACGACCAAAGTCCCTGACAAGGCACCCACGTTCTACGGCTACGCATCGACGACCACTGACTGCTGCATATGCCATCCGCCGGCCCCCTTCAAACCCTGCCATCCCAAAACGCAAAACCAACGCACGCACGCACGCACACTTGCCAACGGCCGCGGGCGAACGGGCAGAGAGCAAACAAACTTTCTTCCATCTGAACCACTGCAACCCAAAGAA